CGCAGGGAATTTGTGCGCGAGGGCTTGTAGTAGATGCCTGGCCACTTTTCCCGCCTTAAAAGTCGATTCGGTCACGGAAATACGGAAAGAACGAAAAAATGCGTACTTTTACCCCCACCTACCCTACTTGGATTTCACCTCTTAAAAAGTCAAAAATTACACGAGTTTCATCTCAATATCGCGAGAGGTACACGATCTCTCCTCCAAATTCATCGAATCCTCAGAAATTACATTTATTAAGTATTTCATCTCGGTATCGCCAGGGTGGCTGGCAAAATTTCATTATTATTATCATATGGATACGGCACGGAACAGCACTTAGTTATATTTCAATAGATAAATATACAAAATATATTTAATAAACATTAGTAAGTAGAGGGATAGAAGAATATATTTAATAATATTTAAGTACTGTACTGTCTTTTTTTTTGGTTTTTCAGTTATTACTATCTGATGTAATATTGTCTCATCCTATAGCTTTTAAAAAAAACTTTGTAAGGGCCCGTCAGCAAGCTGACCAAAGATTGTTGATTACATAACTTGATTGATTATCGGATTTGCAAGACAACATGATAAAAATACTTTTATGAGATGCTTTAGAGAGAAAACTGCAGTAAAAACAAATCAAATGCTCCTTTTCTTGCAGAACACTAAAAAGCCAAGAAAAAAGGAAGAAATCGCTGAGTTGGTACATTAACAATTTTTGACGTGTAACACTAAAGCACTACAAGAGCACCAGAAAGTACTTCAAAAAGTTAGTTAAAAAGATCTTACAAATTTCCCATGAAATAGTATAAAAAAATATGGTAATATTTTTTTTAACAAAAACTTTTACAGGTGGAAAAGGACCAGAACATTACGGTGTTTGTTCCAATTACTTGAAAGATATTCAACTAAATGACGATGTTTACATATTCGTCCGTAGGTAAGCTCCTTGTTTCTCTTCGTCAAAATAGTTTTTCCCAACTGATTGTTTTCTCGTGTCTTTTCATTTACTTTAAGATACTTCATCATTCCGCAGAGAATTTGCCGATTATAGGACATTATTTTCGTCAACGATTTTGTCCGCGCACCTGTTTTTTCTGGTAGTTTGCGTCCACATGCTTTTTCGGCAAATTATGCTAAACGTTATTGAATACGGATGCTAGGACTTAGTAAGTTTTTGGACTACCGCACTCCTTTTGTGTCACAGTATCTTGATTTATTTTGCGAGGGAGGCTCCGTATTCTTAAAGAATGCCTGCCATTCTTAATTTGCTAGAGCGCTTTCAATTTCGTATGATACTGTGCAACACCTCTGATGTGAAATAGTTGTTTGAGGCGCCGCGCCGTGGCACGCTGCGGCGCGGTGGGCGGCCGGCTAGCGCGCATTGGCGCCTACAAACCTAAGAGGATACTTCAAGCATTGCGCAATGCGTGAAGTATCCACTTAGGTTTGTAGGCGCCAGTGCGCGTTCGCGCTGGCAGCACGCCGCGCGCCGCACCGTTCCGCTCTGTGTTAGGCTGTAGTATCTAAACTCGCGGAGTCAGCGATTTTCAACTCATGATTTTGCAATTTTTGCACACTCTGCATGGATTATTCTCATTTAAATTGACGGTAAAGATAAGTATAAAAGGAAAATATAAACGTGTGTTTTGTAAATATTAAGGTGGTTCCGTGTCGAATTTAATGATTTCCAAAGCACTTCGATTTTTTCTTTTATACTTACTTTGTGTTTTTACTGTGCTGCAGCGTGGTGTACGCGCAACTATCCGCTCAAAATTGGACGTATTTGACTATAAAAAATCGATGTACAGATGGTTTAAAACTAAAGATTGCGTGCTTCTTGATTTTTTCCTCTCCTCCTTTCATTTTTATGTAGTTTCTTTCAATTCAACTACGACTCATTGAGATTGATATCGATGCCATCGCTTGGAAAAGGTTTTACAAATATTTGCCACGTTTTAAAAATGTGAATGCTTTTAAAATGAAGTAATATTTTCATTAAAAAAAAAAGAAAGCTATGTACAAGGTATATTTTATATCGACAATTTTAAGGATAGAAATAAAACCAAATACTCACCAATGACGATTTAGGAAAGACAAATCAAAAGAGGAGAGAAACATTTAATTTAAAAAATGAGTTACCGTATCAACACCTCCTTCTCTCTCTATTTCCTTATTTTGATACTGTCATTAAAATATTACATGGACAAAAATATAACACTTAGACCGACTCTTGTTTATTTTACGCGTGGACGTAAACTACTAGACAAAACAAGTGTGCGGACAAAAAATCGTCGACAGAATGCCCTGAAACCGAATTGCTTTGGATTTAAAAGCAGGAGAAAGTAATTTCACTCTCCCAACCCAAAACTGATATGTCATTCAGACATTATTAGGTACAGCCTTCAGCAGCCCATCTTTTTTCTACTATGTTCGTGGTTTGTTACTGACTTATCTAACATTAGTATTAAAAGTGAAATAAAATGTACCTATTGGTGACACCTTCCTCCACAATGTACTCAATAATGAAGTTTAATTTTTTCATTCGATTTATATTTACTTATACCTGCTGGTTCTTTCAGGTAGGTATGCTTAAAATATCAACAAACTTATGCAGGAAAATGTTCATAGAAAAATTTGATTGCAACAAAATTTTTACAGAGGAGCAAAAGTACAGTTAAAGAGCCACTAGACAAGGTCTGAATTGGACGTATTTCTGCCAAAAGGAACTAAGTGCGTTAAGATATGAGCCCTGAGACCCATAAGAGTATATGCATAACAGGGCTCACGTCATAATGCACATAGTTCCGTTTGGCAGAAATACGTTCAATTAAAAGAAAACGTCACATGTTTTCTCTTCAAAATCTCTCGTAGAACATGATTCACACAACGAAAAGTTTGGCAATCAACTTATGAACGAGAAATTAATAAGTTCTTTTAACACAGGTCGAATGGAAGTTGGATTATGCAAATGACGTCATTTTTAGTTTTGCCATAAAACCAGCGTTAATAAAAAATATTTATATCTTGTTCAGGAGTTGATTTTCAGACTTCTCATTGAGCAATTCGTTTTCTTTGTGATGTTTTGAAGAAAAATCATGCAGCGTTGTGCTTAAATTTAAATCTTGTCTAGAGGCCAATTATATTTCACTCTCAACATTATTGTGCTTATCTTATTTGTGCCCTTCTTGAGGCTATCTCCCTATCCTAATTAACTTTGAATTGGATACGTATTTTGATTGAAATAAATGTTTTCTTTCCTCAAATTTTCAGCGCACCGAATTTTCATCTTCCTTCAGATCTTAGTTTACCGCTAGTAGTAGTTGGACCAGGGACAGGTATAGCACCATTCAGAAGTTTCTGGCAAGAGAGAGCCTGGCAGTCAAAGTTAAAAGGTATTTCATATTTGAAAATTCAGTTCGACAATTGCACGAAAGAATGAATCAGTCAATTCATAAACAGAGGAAAACACGGCATAATTCCTCACAAATAACTAAAATATGAATCAGGAACTTGATGAAGACCCACCACTTTTTTTTCTTCTCATATTCTTTTAGTTGGATTCGCACCACTGGAACTCTTGACACTATAAGAATAAGCGCTTCATACAGGGTGTACCAAAAGTCCGTCCCACCCCTGCTAACTTTTGAACGAATTGAGCTAGGGTAATGGAACTTTGGGAATGTTCCTATCTCAAAGGGGACCATCTTTAGGGGGGGTCAAAATTTTGGTTCCCCCTCAGGGGGGCGCGGGGGGCCCCCAACTTTTTTTTTTCAAATGGCAACCCCTATCTTGTGATACATCATTCGAAAGAGCATAAAACACTAAGAATTTTGGCGCAAACCGCAGATCAATATCTTAATTTTTGACCGAGTTATGA